ATAATGTTAATGCTAAGACTAATAATTAATATTAAAACTAACAGTAATAAAAACAACAATAATAATAACAATGACACCAATAATAACAGCAATATTATTGTGGCCGAGTTGACTTGTGGCCGAGTTAACTTGTGGCCGAGTTGACTTGTGGCCGAGTTGACTTGTGGCCGAGTTGACTGTGGCCGAGTTGACTTGTGGCCGAGTTGGATCGAATTCCTTGAGAATTATAGCAAATAATATTCAAATTATGTTTTCTGGGTCGCACCGTAACACATTATAAACAAGTAGCTAAAAAAATGTGCTGGAACAAGAAAATTATGTTATAATAGCCTTTCAACTAAAACTGGATTCGATCACGCAACCTCCCATATCAAGGCGAGTATCATACCACATGGCCGGCGGAACCGGGGGAGGGGTGGGGAGCACCCACTTTTTGGCAAAAAATATATAATTTCTGGAGATTTTTGTATGATCGGAAAGAAATGCAAGAAAATAAAGAGGGAAGAAGGAGGAGAAGGATGGGAAAGAGAGTGTTTATCCAGTCCCCGACCGAGTTACATTTTCTCGCAATTCACATTGGGGGATCTGGGGGAGGGGGTCCCTCCCTTGGGCAAAAAAAAAAGAATTCTAGACCTACATTTTCAGGACCCGTGAGAAATAAGAAAATTAGAATTTTGAAGAACATAACAGTCATTAAAACCACACTTCAATTGTCGGGAAAGCTCCCGCCATCTGGGAATCAAAATTTTCCCGGAGGGAGAACCCTCAGACCACCCTTTCTTTTTGGGATTTAACGATTCATGGAAAAAGATAATACGCATGCAACTACTCATTTATTTATTTATGTTATATTTTTTTATGTATGTATACACACATAAGGCCTATTTACTGTAAAAACAAGTGGAAAAATTTACCTGACCGTTTTCAAGAGAGGAAACCTTGAATTTTGAAGAACTTAAATTAAAATCGCTAAAAGATACTTCAGAAGTCGGGAAAGCTCATTTCCCACCAACATTTTCCCGAAAAGAACCTCCCTTTTCTCTTTGGGTTGATTGATTCATTATAATAATTTTCAAGGGGGAAAACCCCACTTTCTTTTTAGGAATTATGGATTCATGGGGAAAAAATCGTATGCAACTACTCAATTTTTTTTATGAATATGTATATACACATAAGGCCTATTTACTGCAATAAAAATGGGGAAAATTTACCTGACCGTTTTCAAGAGATTAAACCCTTGTTAAAGAACTTAAATTAAAGTCGCTAAAACATACTTCAGAAGTCGGGAAAGCTCATTTCCCACCATTTAGAATTCAACATTTTCCCTGGAAGAACCTGAACCTCCATTTTCTCTTTGCATTCATTGATTCATCATACGGTGATAATTTTCAGGAGGGGAAAACCTTGAATTTTGAAGAACTTAAAAGTAATTAAAAGACACCTCAGAAGTCGGGAAAACTTATTTTTTTTATGTATGTATACACACATAACCGGCCAATTTACTTTAATAAGAATGAGAAAGTTTGCCTAACCGTTTTCAAGAAGGGGAAAACCTTGAATTTTGAAGAACAAAATGATTAGACAACTGAGCTCAAAAGTCGAGAAGAGTCATTTCCCGCCATCTAGAAATCAAAATTTCCCCGGGGAGGACCCCCTGATCCCATTTCGTTTTTGGGGAAAATATTGACCCCCCACCCCCTAGGTTTGATTCCAGATCTGCATGATTCATATTCCCATTCATCTTATAAGTTCCCCCACCCCCACTTTGAAAAACGTTCCGCCGGGCCCTGTACCATCAAAAGAATACACGCAGATCTAACCTCATCAGGAAACGAATATTTCGTCTTGTCCTAATGAAGTCTTGAACGCTGACGTAAACGAAACATTCGTTTCCTGCTGAATAAAATGTTTTTGTTCTACTGTCTAACTCAGCGTTTTGTATATAATATCTTTGTTTTATTATTTGAACACACGTGGACCAATATGACTATTATTATCCTATATATATATCTGTCTCTTA